GAGAGACAATATGATATTATTCAATACTGCACCATATAATGCAGATTCTGATTTTGACCCATTAGAAGAAATTCTAATATTCGGAGATTATAGTGGAAAATTTCAAATTGGTGCACCAGATTATATGATAGTTAGTTTTGAAATTCATAATACATTTAATATTCATGAATCGGTGCATACATATTTGTGTATTATATTTGTTGATAGTCTCATTTGTCAATTTTATTTGCTGGCAATCTTTTAATCTAAAGTGAATCTATATTAAAAGATAATTTGTGTCATAAGTTGCCTAAGGAATTTTGATTAGGAAGGTTAGTAAAATCTTGTTAATTGTTTGTAAACAAATAGTATGCATGCTGTATGGAAAAATATATCTTTCCAAATTAAAAACGATTTTTAATTTTTGAAATGGTGTGACCTGTTTAAATTGTGTAGCATGAAATATCTGTCCTGGTAGTATATTAATGTAAACTGATTTGTAAAGTCAGTTTGCACATGGACATTGTGAATTTTACATGCTAAGTATTATGTTCCTTCATGTTTAAAATGCATTTATTCAAAGTTATTAGAAAATAAATTTAGGGCCCGTTTGGTAGAGATTTTGAGAATTGATTTTTTGATCGTTAGAAGAAAAGTGGGGTCCACATGTGAGAGAAGAAGTCAAAAATTACGGCTTGAATAGTAAAATAACGGTCAAAAAATCAATTTTTTGGGACAAAAAATCCCTACCAGACGGGGCCTTATTACACTTGCAAAAGATACATGTTGGGATAACTTTAATTGTTCAAAGCATGTTGGCTTTGTCAAAATCCAATAATGTTGAAATTTATCGTTTGTGCTGAATTCCTTACTTTTGCGTATGCCATCTCAATAACTTTTGTTCTCTCACTAAGTATGGCAAACCATTATGCATTTGAATATATTACTCACATGAGGAGGCATATTTTAACTGATAAATATGCCCATAACGGTAATGGCATGAGTATGCATTTACTTTAAGTAGGCGAATTTGTTAGGTATCTATATGTTGATCATGTGAAGCGGATTAGTTTATTCATTTGATGAATCGATATAATGGATAGACCTTTTGGTCAAAATGGTCTAGTTGGTTAAATTTTCATATTTTTTTGAAGATTATACTAACTTTGATTTATGATGATAGCCTTAGTATATTATATGGAATTAAGTGAGATGATAACAAAATGTGATTTGTTTTAAGGTGGAAATTGCTTATGCAATTACTAGGATATGAAAATATTTTATAGAGCACAAATTGTGTCTATAGTTGGTGATAGTGTTGAATATCCTTTTTCATTCAAATTTGGTAAAGTTTGAATATGGTGAATATGTATCTTAAGATTTCACATGATACAATATTATGAAGTGTCACAAAAGTGAAAAATTACATATGTTTGGAGAAGTTGCAATTCTTGTAAATTAAGATGCTTAGCCTTCTTCTTTGATTGAACTTAACTTCAATCATGGAACCAATTGAGTTGGTTTATGTTTGAAAAAACATTGTTGGTCTATGAGATGACATTGATCAAATTGTGATCAAAATTGAAAGATAGTTCGATTGAAGTACATTATGACTTAAAGACCACTATCAGAAAGTACTTAAACTTTCACAGAGATTATCGAAGTGATAAGTGAATTGAACTAAGAAAGGGTTAATAAATTCTAAGTTGAAGTATAACCCAAAATATGGGAATTAACATTAATGGTTATGAACTTATATGAGAAGTTCAAGACTTGTGAATGCAACATTAAAGGATTACATATGTATTCTTAATTGAAGAATTGTGGGGATAACCTAATTTAAAATCTACAATTGCCTATACTTCTTAATCATAGAAAGATATTTATGAAGGAGAAAGGTAGAAAAGCCATTATATATATAATTATAAGGATGAAATACACTAAGTCTAAGTGGATGAATCGAGTGGACGCCGGTCATGCCACTCGCAAAACCAGTGGGAATATTTAAGGAATATTCATAAATTGAAGATCATTGTAATGATTCAATGATGATAAGTGAATACACAAGTGTAAAATCCATAAATTAAAGGGATTGACTAGTGTAATGGTTGACAGAAGACTTCCAACCGTATCTGGATATCAATAATGCTTTAAATAAAGCTTGTGAGAAACATGTAACTTCATAAGATGATTTTTTGGTGGTGATAAGTTTTATCTATCAAATGAATCGATCGTTGGCTAGCTACATTTGAGAAGATACTAAGTCATAAATAATGAAAAGTCTAGACATATGAGTATTAGACGTGACTTTAAAAAGAAATTATCAAAAGATGAGATAACTTTTGCAAAGACTTTTCGGATCTTTTTAACTAAACCACTAAATAGAGATTTAGTGGTGTCTACTTCGAGTAGGATTGGGTTGAAACTCCTAAACAAAAAGGTCAACCAACGACGACAACCCTACCTGTCATTACTCAAAAGGTAATCCATGGGTTTAAAGGATAATAACAAGTCATTCAATATGTGGATGGTTTCAACATTATTAAAATCTACGATAACCTTATTCTAATTAAATAATGCTAGTTATTACTGAAACAAGGGTTAAGCTATAAGCTCTTAATGAAGTTCAGTGTTAAAACACAAGTATCTCTAAAAGTAAAAAAGATATTGGAAGAACTTTACCTAGACCAATTTTGAGGTGGTGTCGCCTCAATAGAGAAGATGGAGTTTCTCTCTTAAAAAGTTTGTCTAAAATGATGAGTGTTGGGCCATTACAGTGCTAAGCGAATTTGAAAAACTCGAAGAACACGTAATACTTGTGTGTGTATCCTTATCAGTATTGTCACGTGGAATAATTGGTTCAAAACTTCATGCTACCTGTGATTCCGACTTTACTTTGTTTGGATTACACTATGGTTAGATTCAAACTAATAAATATCTAATCTTTATTCATGGATATTGTATACTTTGAATATGAGAGTTTATTGAATTTTGAACAAGTGGAGGATTGTTGAAATATATTGTTCAAAATTAATAAAGAGGTGTGTGAAATGAAAGTGGAAATATTGAGGCCGCATCTTTATATATGTGACCGCACAGCCCTTTAAGAGTGCGGTCGCATGAGACAGTGTATGCGGTCGCATAGGATTCTTCTATACGACCGTATAGAAGGTTTCAACTAGTCGTTGGAGGCAATTTTAATTCAATATTTGGCGGCTTTTCACTTATCTTTGGCACTATTTCGTGTAGCAACGTCCCATGACTATAAATATGTGACTGATGGACATTGAAAACACATTTGAAACAAATAAAGGATTAAACTTCCTTCCCTCCATATTCCTGTTTTTCCCTTTGTGATCTTCAAGTTTTGGAGAATTGCATATGTGCTTTAAGTCTTTTATTTTCTCTAAGGCTTGATCAATCCTTCAAACCGTTTGCTGCAAGATCCTTTAAGCACCAAACTTATATTCAAGAGAGGGTAAATACCATTTGAGGACACAATATAATGTTTTGTTCGAGCCTTCGCATTCATTATGATTTTCTTCATATTCATCTTCTTGATTATTTTTATATAATTTTTCTTCTCCAAATTCCGGTGTTGAAAATTTCCCAACAAATGTATACCCCATGATGTTAAATTTTGTTTTTTTATCCATTTTCATTGAAGGATAGAGCTAGTCAACTAGATCATGGCTTAATACATTACTTGCTAATAGCATTACATCTTGGAAACAAATGATAGCTAAATTTTAGAAACAAATATTTTCTCACTCATAATACTAATGCTATTCGCAGAGAAATTTTGAAGTCAGTATAAAAAGAACACCATTTTACGAAGCTTGAGAGAAGTTTAATGGGTTGTTTCTACAATGCCAGCATCACGACTACGAAAATATGGCACCTATGCCAATTTTTTTGGAGGGATTGCTACCCCAAATTCAATTACTATAGAGCTCATGCCTAAAAATGCAACAGAAATTTGAGTCATTGTTTGAATCACATTATTTTCATAAGAAAGCAGTTTTGAATAGTATATTGACATGAAATGTGTCGTTAAAAATAATAAAAATTTTTGAATTTGCGTGTAACATTATTTTATTAAAGAATGTGTGATTAAAATGATGTCAAATCACTGTTTAAAAATGTGTGTTCCCTGCTGTCAATTGTCAGCCTATTTTTTAAAGAAGCGTCAGGCCTTGTTTGTGTGTGTGTGTCTATATATATATATATTTTTTTTTTATTTATTATTATTATTATTATTATTATTATTATTATTATTATTATTATTATTATTAATTTTTTAAGAATGTGACTCAAACAAGACCTGATGCTTCTTTAAAAAATAGTCTGACAATTGACAGCAGGGAAGTCGATCTTCTATGACTAGAAGAAAGAAAAGAGAAGTCTATGAGCTTCAAAACAGCAAACCTAACTCGAATCCAAGGAAATGATAAGAGGTATCTCCCATCAATTAGCTTCATTGACAAACGTTGAAGCCAAATCCCCATTCTAATACGCATAATCCAAGATGGAGAGACTACCCTAATTTTCATGGTCATAGACATGGGCGGACTCAGGATTATGGTTACAATGGGAGAGAGCACAATTACATAAAAAAATATTTCAATAAATTGTGAAAGAAAAAAAAAATCCGAAAATTTGAATTTAAAAAGCTGCATTTGAACTAACACAAAATTTTAATATTATTAGCTAAATAAAAATTAGAGGAGGACAATGCTAGACGAGCCTAACCAGGATCTTTTCCCATCCTAAAATTTAAAAGCCACATATACACATATTAAAATTTTATAAAAATATTTTAAAATTTCATAATATAAATAATTAGTTTTGTTTACATCTCTTTGGCCGACGTTAAAAATTCCTATTATTTCCGACCCTATTTTTGTGGAGGACTTATCATTGGACAATTAAATAACTGCAATAACTGCTTGATGTTATTACCAAACTACCCTTACCTCTATTATTTGTTCTGTCCATTTCTTTTATTGAATTCAATTCCAATGGCAGACAAGAAGAAGAAAACAAAAATCGACAAAGTAAGAAAAAATACATGTATTTTACATTAATAATGTTTATAGAATAATTTACTGTCTTACCGTCGAAACTGAAACAGGTTGTGGTTGCAGAATTCAAAGTTTCTATGCATTGTAATGCATGTGAAAGAAGTGTTGCCAAAGCCATTTCAAGAATCAAAGGTTATCTTCCTCCCATTTGTTTCTCTATGTTTATGTTTATGTATACGTATAAAGACTCTCATAAATGCACGTGTGATATAGGGCCGTACACTAAAATCATGACACGTTGAATCTCGAACAACTCAAGTCACGACATTTCAAGATCTGATTGGGTTGGCGGGCACACCTAGTATCCTGTATCCGAGGTGTCGATTGAGATGTTGTGATTTGAGTGGATTGTTGTCCAATTCTTTTAAATATTTGTTTCATTGACATCTTTAAATATTTCTATTTCTATTTTCTTCTCCTCCTTTGGCCGTTTGTAGTAATGAACATAATAAAGGCGAAAACAATACATGTTAAGGACCAAAAATTTACCGGGAATAAGGCTGACGTTGAAATCTTTGATATGGTTGAACAGGAGTGGAGAAGTTTGTGACTGACATGAGAAATCACAAAGTAGCAGTGACAGGGAAGATCAATCCACTGAAAGTAGCGAAGAAAGTGAAGAAGAAGACTGGAAAAAAAGTGGAAATTGTTGATATTGACAAAGAAGATGGGAAGAAAGAAGAAGGGAATTTAGCACTTGAACAAAATGAAAAACAAATTGCATATTCTTTGATTTTCGATCACTATTGTGAGGATAGTGAACTTCATATGATGTTTAGTGATGAGAATGCAAATGCATGTTCTATAATGTAAATATATTACACTGTCCAATCATATTTGATACTCCGCATACCAAACATACACTAGAAATAGAAATGGAACAATTCAAACAAAGAAAATGAATTTCTATAGCCAATCCTCAACAAAGAGATGGTCTCGCCTTGAGGCAAAAGACTTTTGGCCGCAAAGACCAGTAAATTGTCATTATATACTCCTTCCCTCACTTCTTGTCCGACTTGCATGTGTTAAACATATCGTTAGCATTCATTATAAGTTAGGATCGAAATCCTAATAAGAATTATATTACAACTTTCTTAGATGAAGTGAATTCAAAATTGTCTTTCATTCTAAAGCATGACTTGTATTCATACACTCATCTTCGTACTGAGGCCTGGTCAAAAGAGTAAAAAACACTAGAATGTGGGTAACTGTTATGTAAGAATATACAGAAACTGAAGCTATACAGAAGGAACAGACAGAAACTAGGCCATAAAAAGGTTTAATGGCATTAACATATCCAGTCTAAGTATTCAAACACGCGTGAATGTGTTTATATGTATGATTTAGGGTTGTTGGAGATGCTATATTCTTTGTATTTTTGGGACCACTGAGTATTGACATCTGTGATTTGGAGTTTGATATATTTCTTTATTTTTTCCCTTGGACCTTCAATTCGAGATATATAGTTTCTGAATTCCCAATGTTCAAAACAACTTTGTTTAATGTTTTAACTAAGAAATTGTTCAAATCTCATATGATCTATAGTAGAATGATATTGGAGGAAAAAAAAGAGTGACGTTATTAGAATTAACGAAAACATATCTCGACTAGAAGAATTACGTAACTTAAACCACTTATTCCTTGTTAGAGTTTATACTGCATTCATTGTTTCTTTATGTGAATTTAGTTAAAGTCGAATTTATTTTTAAAAATTCTACACGAGGTGCTCCTCCAAATGTTTTTGAGGCACAACTTGTTGGTGCATTTGAAGAACATGGCTCGGAGTGTATTATAGCTGAAGACATGAAGGCTCCAGTTTTTGACGTTCAAGAATCTCTATATTCTCCTTTCTTCTTAGTCCTGAAGATGTAATTTTGTTCGTGCACCTTGTTTTTCTTTCTCCTAGTCACATCGTGGATGGTTTAGCACAAAATAGCAAAACTTTATTTGGTTTTCGGGTTCTCTTTTGCTAATTACAATTCTGAGTCGTTTGTTTGTAGGCATTACTTCACTATCTGTACTGAGATATCTTTCCAGAGGTGGAAGAATTGCAGGGTCTCAATTCAAAATGGGCGAAATCTGTGATTGCTCAACATCTACTATCTGCTGCAGACCGAAAGACTAGGATTGCTTTGCCAGGCTAGAATTAATGAACATATATTGCCATCAACACTGTAGTAGCCTCTTTCGCAGAGCAGCACAATTATTCCCAACCGGTGCGTATTGAGTTCATTGCAAGGCCTGAAAATTTAAAAGGTACACTTTCATGGCATGTGTTCTAGGTATTACTGAAATGTTCAGGACAATATAGCCAAGATTTTAGCTCTTTTTGTTTCTTAATACTATCCAATTCACCTTATAAGGGGGTAAAAAAGGGATATCACAGAGCATGAAACAGCTCTCTGTGGATGCTTAGTCTTAGAAGCAACTTGGGACATGTAATTTAAGGCTTTGGCCTAGATCTTGGAGTTCTATGCATGTGCATTTCATATTTCTATGTTAGAAAGATGGATCTCTGTGTCATGCTGGGTTAATAGTTCCCTTGCACATATATTTCCAAAAAACTTGTTAGACCTAATGAAAAACATGAACCCTATTCCGCCACTCAGGTCATTGCTCCATGTACTGGAAGACATAAAATAACTAGATTATTAGCAACTACGTTCGATAATCTTTATTTCCTCTGATTGAAAACTCAATATCGCACGAATCTTGTTTAGATTCAGCGGCCATGCAAACAGAAGGATTCAAGCACCTGATGGAGAACTGTCCTCGATTTTCACTGATTTGCCAGAATGTATATCTGTAGGGATCAAATGTTCAGACATTTCTATGGACATAATAAAAATACCCTTAACTTGTAGTGATTCAAAAAGGAGGTAAGGCAAAGATATCAGCAACCTCCTTGAGAATTGAATCAAATTCTTATAGTGATGACTGAGCAAGAGTTTGGATTTACATTATTATAAATTTAATTTATTCTTAAGCCACTATCTTGTGATAATTAGTGTGTCGAATTCTATTATACAAACAGGAACAGAATTTGAGATAGGAATATGATTTACATCATTTTGCCACTCCAGTCTGTTAGTTTAAAATATCCAGTTTCAGGCCGGCTTTACGCTAATGCATCATATCTGGCAAAATTCACAACCTTCCATGTTATAACACACAGGAGAAACAAGAAGCATCCGCGTATAGAAAAACTAGAGAACTACATTTTCATACAATTTCGAAGTAGCAGTTATAGTCCAATAAACGTTTTAATAGTTATACAACTACCGGAACATTACGTTAATACAAATGAAAGCAGCAACATGGTCGATACAGCAAAACCTTATCTTAGACGATGAAAGTCATCGCTTTGTCCAAACCGATTTCACATGGTCACAAATGATACAGCCACTTGTACACTAGATCAGCCTTTTTAAGTCACGGGAGTAAAGAATGTCAACATAGAAAACAAAAACAAGTGAATGTTACCAGTTGGATGCTTCCTCAGCCTCAGATTGTTCTATAAATCTACCACTTCGATCTTGGATAACAGAAGAAAAATCATGGATTAGAATCCATGCGTCTTCTCATACTTGGAAGCATTGATTCATGTTAGTTGCGTATTTTGCCTTTTTTGGAGCCCTCCTGATAGGAATACAGGAATGCTAAAGTCTGTCACACGAGATGAATTTACAGTCTACCAATTAATCATGGAAGAGCTCGGTTATGAGCGAACCATCAAGTTGTATCCATCTCAGTCGACCAGAGTCATATCACAGAGTCAATACCACTGACTTCCTGACCCCCCTTGAGCAGCTGCTACTTTCCTAGCCATGTACATGTCGGGTTTCTGCTGGACCCCATTGGATCCTTCAGTACCATCTCCCCTTTCATTCTTACAGCCCGGGTACTTTCTTGGGTAAGATGAGCCGGGAACAATGTACTGTGTTGGTATTGCGGGATTCCTAACCATTTTTCGATGTTCATTGGCCTCTGCTGTGGCTGCTGCACTATTGTTGTAACGAAAAACAGAGCCAATGACCTTCCCGGGCCTTGCAGCACCCCCTATTGTGAAATTAAACAGCTATTAGAACTAAACCCAGAACTGGAACAGCGCCTAACAAGTGCATGTGATGGCCTAGAAAATGTCTAACAATGTTGACTAAGCTTGTTTGGTTGGGCTTATTTGCTGTCTTCTAAGCAAAATAGTATGGAGTTGCATTCTTATTTGCTTATAATGAAAGCAAATAAGCTCTACGATTTTTAGATCAAATGTGAGAAAACCATGTATATCAACTTCTTGTATTAAATTCACCTTTACCTAAATAGGAGCATTTAGCACTCTGTTCGGGTGACTAACGCTCTATTCCTTCATTTCATGGTAACTTAAATAGGCACTCAAGCAAGAAACCCAGCAATATGTCTATTGATTACAATAAAAGAACAGCAAAAAATGTCCATATTGAGTTGATGTTCAGTGTAAATATCAAACCTGGGACGTTTTGAGGAACTTGGGGAGGAAACCTTGGAAGTCCAGACATCCGGTCCACCTGTGGCTTCTCAACTTCCTTAATGGAACATTTGGATAGATCATTTGTCATATTAGCAGAATTCTGTGTCAAATTATCCGAGTGTAATACACTTGGTCTGCACAAGAGAATCTCAGTCTTCACTGATAGTAAAATATGTAATAACTGGCAATTCCATATCTATTCAACTGTAACACATCAAGGAAATAGAAACAGCTAAGCACTTATTGAAGTTTACCTGGGCAAAGATGATGAATGCTGCCTCTCAGGTGGAGCAGTAGTCCCATTTCCGTAGTGCTCTTCCAGAGATGCAAATTGCTTCTTAAATTTGTCGACAGCACTGGGAATGAAAAGGAGGCAAAAAGATTAAAAACCATGTAAAAAGGGCAAGAAAACACGTAGCTTGATGTCTTAGGACCCTAATCGGAAGATAAATATGATCAAGCTTCCTACCAATCAGAATCTCCCAAGTGCATGTTTGGTAGGCTACACTAGATTAGACAGTATAAGGAACAAGATTTTCCTATTTTAATTTTTGGGATTTGCTACATGTACACTAGATTTATATGTAATCACAAGATTCACAACCATCTCTGTACAGATGCTAACAGTACACATAGATGCCTATTACATGAAGTAGGAGGACCAACTTTGTCTTCACAAGCTTAAATTTTAGTTTTCAACCTAGTTCCAGAGAAGAGGGACATGAGATTTCAGTGGGTATTGGATCCTTTTGAGCATTGGTACAAAGCCACAAAACTAGAAATCTGGATTTATACATAAAATTGGACGATCTAGAAATTCATTACAGCTAAATTATTTTCCAACATGTTCCTGAAGGATGACTATATAAAGGGAGCCAAACAGGCTAATGCAATAAAATAGATATAAAAAAGAGTTATTGCTAATAAATGTGCATAGATTGTATTCATATCATCTATTGACATCAATACCTCGGATACATAAATCCTGTAGGTTCAGCTCCCTCTAAGAATTCTTTCAACATTTTAGGGTGATATTCAAGAATCTCTCGGTATATTAACTCTCTCACATCGTCCTTGGTTATCCTTCGTCTTTCAAACTCAAATTCCATTTTTGTCACCGGTTGTGCAGAAGGTTCTCTCTCAACTTTGGCTAAGTTCCTGAAGTAAGGATCCGCAAGAGCCTGAAAGCTCACAACACCTTTTAGAGAGCAGGATTAAGAATGACAAGCTAATGTTATCACAAAACACATCCTATACCTCTTCTGCAGAAGGTCGATCCTTCGGATCAAAGGCAAGCATCCTTTCTAATAAGCGTAAAGCAAGGGGATCAGCATTTGGAAACTTATGAGAGAAAGGAATAGGCTTCTTCTTTCGCAAGCTGCTTAAGTATCTCCTGGCTTTTTCATTTCTTATCTGTCATATGAATTAATAAGTGAACACACAAAAGAGCCAAGTAAATGTTTGAAGTTATGATTCTTTGCTGTATAAAATGAACTATCACAAGCACACACCCTTGCAATGGTTTCTGGTGGCGGGGTACCCAACAGATCAGTCATGAGATCTAATTGATGAACCACATTTTTTCCAGGAAAAAGAGGTTTGCCCGTCAAAAGTTCAGCAAATATGCAACCAATGCTCCATATATCAATTGCAGGTGTATACTGCAAAAAAGATCACAAGTAAAATGTTGGAATGAAATAGATTTTCTTCACAATGAATGTTGGAAAATCAATTCTTCCTGTAAGTCGTGATACAAAGAGACGGGGGAAGTGATTTTTACCTTTGAGAAAAATGATCCACACAATTCAGGGGCCCGATACCATCTCGTTGCAACATAATCCTACAACAATGTTAAAAATTTGCATGAAAAATACCTCTACTTTTTTCAAGATCATATGATCTTTTGTGCATAAAGGGCAACTGATTCAATCAGGCAAAGCATGAAAATGAAACAGTTCCCAAGAAATTAAAGAAAAGAAACATACTGTCCAAAATATAGCAGTAGGAGTGTCATTAAAGGCTACTCTTGCCAAGCCAAAGTCACAGATCTTTAGTTTGCAGTCAGCATTTGCTAAAATGTTTTTGGGCTTCAAATCACGGTGAAAAACATTTGCTGCAGAAAAGAAAAGCATATAAGACAACTAATGAAACAATTGCGCCTACCATTCAAGAACTATTTGCAACAAGTATATTTTAGCATATAAAAAAAGGTTGAACCCCAACTTTAAGGGTCCCCCACCGCCCCTGCCCTAGAGCATCATGAGGGAGGTAAATAGCAGGTTATGCCTCCAAGGGTACAGGGTAGAAGGCTGCTTGTACACTTGTACTTACCCAAGAATCAAATCCATATTTCAGGATTCGAACCCTTGATGCGGTAGCCTCAAGCAAAACTGAATTTCTCCACCCTCCCCTTTTACCACTTGGAGATGTGCCCTGGGGGCGTATATTTTAGCATATATAATGCTCATAGAGGAGCATTAACTGTAATCCAAATATCAGAAAGGGTCTATAACAAAATTTTAGCAATCCAAACCTGTATGTATGTACTTCATGCCTCGAAGAAGCTGATAAAGAAAGAATTGGTAATGTTCAGGGGTCAAATCATCATTTGCTTTAATGACTTGGTGGAGATCAGATTCCATTAGTTCGAAAACTACGTATATATCCTTGAACTCCCTTCTAGAAGGAGGCAGTAAAATATGCTTGATTTCCACAATGTCTGGATGACGAAGAAGCCTAAGAAGTTTAATCTCCCGAAGTATACGTGTTGCATCAGAGACGTGCTCAAAAATGTCATTAATCTTTTTAATTGCAACTTTTTCCCCAAGATGAGTGTCGTATGCAGAGCAGACAACACCATAGCTACCTTTACCAATCACTTCCTCAATTCTATATCTGCTTCCTTCACCATATTGTGTGAAGAAATCCACATCCACAGACCCCTGTACCATCACGTAATGATATTCCAGTATATTAACATTTTGTACTTTACAATGTTGGTTCAAAAACGTTGTTAACAGGACTACAATTTAATTTAAGATTTCTGCCTATATCAAAAAAGCAACCATTCCCCAAACCAGTATATATTAATATCAGAACCCAACTTCTTAATGACAAGAAAAGCAAAAAAAATTTCCACTTGTTTCAACGTCTGACTCATTTACTTTTATTTTACTTTTCCTTGTTATATACGTTAAAACCTTACAAATCCACCTTGTAACACCATTCTTCAATGAAAACTGCACAATTTTATTTTTTCAACCTAGGTAGAGATACATAGGAACCTATTTTTCAACTTTCTCTTCTAAACTTAATCCTTTACAAAATCCAATTTACCAATATTCTTCACAGCCCAGGAATGCAAAGAAAAATTAAAGATAGCAAAACTTAGTCAATCATAAAATTTTACAGAAGATTTGAATAATTTCTCACCGAAGTCAATGCACCTATAATGTTGCTATAATCAAAGATCTAAGAATGCCCTCAAGGGAAAAGCTCAGTGAAAAAATCTGCAAGCAAACAACTAAAACATAGAACTACCTAACAAACCTACAACCAATACACATTGATTCCCTAATTCGCTGTAACTCTTACATCCGAAGGGAAATAAGATCAATCCTGATATCTGAAAATCGCAAATCTAATTTTCAAACAAAATGATTTTTTCTAGTGGACTCTAAGCTTGAAAATTAAGAACAAGCGGAAGGAATCCCAACTATTAATTCTAACTTACGTTAAGAAACTATTCCGATAATACAAAATAGCACTTATATTTATATTACATACTACGTGAATAATTGAAGAATTAATACCTTTTTTCTCTCATCAGGCTGCATATTTATCCCGAAAGCATCTAAACAATGAATCAATATCAGCAATCAACAAAGGTTAGATCGAAAACTGCCACAAAATGTTGACTTTCCAACTCAAGACTCAAACTTCTTGGATCAAAAAACCAATGAAACTTTAGAAACCCCAGACAAAAAAATTAAACAAAACCCAGAAATCAATTTCAAGTTAGAGCCTTAGATTTGATGAGCACAAAAGGGATGGTTCAAGAAATGTAAACGGCTTATTTTTATAATTATAAATGGAATCTTTGATGGATTACAGAACAACGACTTAAAAGATTTTTAAAAAATATAGCTGGAAAATGGGTTATTTCCTATATATTTGGCGATGAAATCTAGCCTAAACGTTCATTCAAAAACGGAATGAAAAGTTGAAGAGAGAGAAAGAAAGAGAGAGCACTAGCGAGCATGTATGTATAGCTTTAGATCTAGAGAGAGAGAGAGAACATTGTGTGACTCTGTGCCCTCAACTTGAGGAGGAAAAAAATGGCAAAAGAAAGATTCTAAGCCCACGATTGAAATTTTTTAAGTTATTGACCGTTATTTCACTATTTTAACTTTTATTTTTTACTCCTCACTCATAGTTGAATTCACTTTTTTTTTAATGATGAAAAAATTAATTTTCATAATTACTATCGAATAGACTCTAAATACTTATAATATAAATAAAGACCAAAAAATAGAGTTAAATTCACCAATGATCACCCAACTTTATATTTAATGTCAACATGATTACCTAATTTTGTTTTGTTTTATCATGGCCATCCGACTTTGGATTTAGAGCGTGTTTGGTAGATATTTTAATCCAATTAACATTAATTTTTTTACTGTTATTTCATTATTCCAGTTATCATTTTTGAATTCTTCTCTCACAGGTAGGATCCACTTTATCTCTAACGATTAAAAAATTAATTAACAAAATCCCAACAAAACTAGCACTTAATATCGTCATGACAAACCCATTTGATTTTATTTTATCGTGGTCATTCAATTTCATAAAACGTTTCTTCATAATCACTCAATTTCATATAATGTTTCACTATGACCACCCAAAATTTTTCCACTAATTTTAAAGGGGGGCAAAACGGAAACTTTGCATTATATATAAAATAAATTTTAAAAAAAGTAAAATAAAAATTTATTTTAAAAATTATAATAAAATAAAAATTTATTTAAAAAAAAGTTGCTTAAAAATATAAAAATAAAAAACTTATTTTATAAAAACATTACTTAAAAAGTTTTATTTTATTTTATTTTTTTAAGTAACTTTTTTTAAATAAGTTTTTAATTTTATTTTTTAATTTATATTATATATAATGCAACATTAGGTTTTACATCTTTAAAAATGAGTGAAAATGTTGAAAAGAAGGTGGGTGACCATAATGAAATGTTAAATAAAATTGAGGAAAGTATTTTCTTTTGGGGAATAGGATTTATTTTCCACGGAACTATCTCTTTCTCATATCTATCCATCAATAAAAAATGAAAAAGTATAATATTTTTAAAGTTGAAAACTAAATCAATTAAATACATTTATTAATAATTTTCATACAAACAAGTTCTAAGCAATTGAATTGCCTAAAATTTATTTTCTTTCCGTGTAAATTTCATGCTTGTAATCAAACGCACTCTAATTGATTAAATTACTTATTTTAATAATAAAGCAAGTGATAATTTAAATATAGTAGATTTTCCAAACATTTTAGAGACGAAGTTATTTAAAAATAATTATGTTTTTTAAGCTTATCCAACACGTGTCAACAAAAATTAATAAATTGCATAGAAAAAATTCAAATAATGTAGTTTAAAATTTGACAATATCAATTGATTATTGTTTCTTTCAACAATGACAGTTTATAATGAATTAAAATCTTAAATTTTAGTGAACAAATATTTCAAACTTTTTTTTTTTTAAAAAATCATTTCGAAGTATTCATTTTTTAATAAAATAATTATGTATATGAATTCATAATCTTTTTTTACTTTTTAATCACTAATTGTTCAAAAAATCATTTTTCATAAAATATATTCTCAAGAAATCTATGTCAAATAGGCTCAAAAGAAATATATGAGTACGAAAAAAATTAAGTGGTATATTAAAGCTCTCTTCAATGCAATTATCCCTTATTAATCTTTGGTTGGTTGACAGCAAATTAGCCAAAATAATTGCATTGAAGATATGCTATAAGCTTATTTTCTGATAATTACATAAAAAATAATGCTATTAATAGTGAGTGATTATTGTCCTACGTAGCATCATATGTCAGAACAATCAAATGGATTTCCATATTAATAATCAAAAAATCACAAGTATGATGTCATAAAGGGCGACTATTATAGTTGTCGACTATGAGTAGTATTACTTTTATATTAAAAAAACGTAAAATATATGGCATGGAACACAAACGAGGCTTCAAATTTCATTCCAAATGTATATAAAGAGCAATTTCCATTCTAAGGACATGTTTGGATAAACAAATTGGTTAACAACATAAGAATATTAAGGAATAATAAAAACATGCCCCCGGGCACAGCTCAACTGGTGGATCAATCAACATTGTCTTGATTTCGACGACAAGGTGGAGGTTCGAATCCTAGTGGAAACCTGCAGCTAGATTTATTTGGTATGGAGCAATCACTTTGGAGGAGAATCTATTGTGCGCAGAAGTGTACAGGCGGTAGGGAAACTTGTGATCCAGTTGAGGCATAACTCGCGATTTACCCCCTCCAAGATTCTAGAGGCAAGGGTCTTGGGGGTCCAAAATTTAGTGTAATGTAAGTTGGGATATCTGGATATCAAAAATAATAATAATAACATTATTCATTTTAACGTCTAATCATGCATGTTTAACATTGACTGCCAACTACGTGACAGCATTAGAATAGAAATCGTTTCTATTTAATTGCACATTCATTAATTAATAGAGGATTGACTATGTGACAACATTTGTCGGACGCATGTGCTAGTCACATGGCTTCTAAATGTCCAATCTTTTTTTTTTTTTTTTTTCCGGGGGGGGGGGGGGGGGGGGGTG